CTAGGTTCCTCGGCTCCAGCACCCTGATTGCTGTTTGGATCTCCGGTTTTAGCCCCTTCATGAAGTTCCCTTCCAGGGCTGGCTCTAAAATGTGATCCAATCTGTTAGCCAAGTACTCGAACTTGTCCCGGTAGTCTCCTACAGTCCCCTACTGAGTAAGAGCAAAGAATTGTTCATAGAAGTCTCCTCCCCCATCGGCTCGGAAATGCTCCAATAAGCAATCCTTGAACTCTATCCAGCTCCGGATGGGCTCCCTCCTATCACGCCACTGATACCAGGCCAAGGCTTTTCCTTCCAAACACAATCCCGTCGCCGTCAGCTTCTCTTCCTCTATCAACCCGTTAACAACGAAGTAACGCTCTACCTTGTAGATCCAGCCATGGCCGTCTTCCCCCTCAAAGACGAGCATCTTCAACTTCCTCACCAGTGGGTCTCCTCCGTGTCCCCTGAATCCTCCATAGCCTCCCATTCCTCGAAGATGAGGTGCTCCCCAACTTTCACGATCTTCCCTCCGGCGATTATACCCAAATCCTTCCTCATAATCCCCTCTTCTCCCTTCAAAATCAGCCCCCTCGGCGATGAAAATCTTCTCTTCTCCCTCCAAAATCAGCACCCCTTCGGTCATTTCCCTGACTTATCTCCTCTCTAGAAAGTGGCTCTAGAGGTGGCATGTCGTACTCTCCCTCAAGGATCTCCACTTCCGGATTTCTCCTTCCTCTAAACGTGTTCGGATATCCTCCAACGACATGGCCTCCGGTGGTCTCTCTTACTTCCGATGTCGTCGGATTTGTCTTCATCTCAAGTAATTTTTTTAGCATTTCTTCCATCACGGTGAACTTCCCCTCCAACCTTTCATTGTTGGTGATGATTTGATTTTGAAAATAAAAAAATCTTCCCTTCAAATCGGATTTCAATTGTCCGACTTCGCCTTCCAAAACTTCTACCTTCTTTCCGACCATCGTTCTTCCCCACGGATCTCAAATAACTCACTTCCGGAAGCCAAAAGCTCGTTGAAAAATCAGGATTTCAGCTTCCTAAGGTCCCAAATCGTTGCTCTGATACCAATTTGATAGGAAATACTTGTGTTCACAAGCAAACCTAACCAAAAACAAGTACCACATTAAGGAAAACTGCTGTTCACAACAGTTAAATCGCCAGAAACAGTGGAAAACAGAGGAAAACTGAGAGAAAACTTGTAGGAAAACCAATAAAACAATTGTATTTCAGTAGTAGATTCAAGAAAACAAGCAAAAATATAATTTCCTTCAATTCGAGAGGAAGGAATAACTCTCCAAATCTCTGGCAATGCCAAGAGCCAAAAGCAAGAAACCCTACACCTCAAAAATACATTCAAATTCAAGCTCAAACCTAATTCCCTCATTACTCCCTAATTAAAGCTAAATGAAAGATACAAATTCCCTAAACACCCTTCTAATTCAAATTTTCGATCCAAACGAAGTGTTTAACGCATGCTTGGGCCCACCCAAACTTCCGCCCCCTCCTCTGCTTGGTTCCGCCTGGCATTGGCCCGCCGGGTTTAGAACTGGACCGGTCCAGCTGGGACTGGTCCAAGCGTAACAGAAGCCTGGCTTGCGGGTTGTTCGATCGGCTTCATTCACATGAGGAGCAGTTGTCGAGATCGGCCAATAGTAAGTGTGGGAGATAGGGGTGTCAATTCGGGTCAATGGGTCGGGTTCGGGTCGAAGTCGGAACTGACCCGACACTGTTCGGGTCAACCCGAATCCGACCCGTTTTTAAAAACGGGTCAGGTTTCCGGACCCGAACCCGACCTCATGGGTTAGTGGGATCATGGGTCGTGTGTGGGGGCCGGTCAGTTAATCAACCGTCAACAGTAAATAACAACAACAGTCATGTATACCCTAAAGTGTACAGGTATATAGATAGGACCTTTTGTAAATATGAAATAGAATTGTAAAACAAGCTGAAGTCCCTATCAACCAAAAATTTAAAGATCCTGAAGGACAGATTAAACAGCTAATATGTTACAATTTGACATGCAATGATGAAGGATAAGCTATAAAACTTTAAGGAGGAATCATAAACTCTTGCAGCTTTGACTAGATGACAAGATTAAATAAAACTAATATGTAATTTGACTAGCTAAAACTAAGGAATCTCTAATGAGAGTAGTAGTTTGCTAGAAAGCATGCAATTCTTTTAGTTTCAAGGTTTGCATCTTTCTATTCAACGAATAGGTGCTTTCACACCACTGCCCCTTGTGCATGAACGCCTCGATCAATGCCCATGAGCTGTTGCTGGATGGCACATGCAACCACAATGCAATACCTCCAGCTCCTCTACTTGACAGCTACCCACCAAACTCATAGATGTCTCAACTCACCACCCTCACGACTAGCACCTCGCATCTCCAATATAACAAATTGTTAATCAGGGAGGTATCTGAAGTCCCTCCCATCACCCTATTTCTCCCCTTAGTGACACTTGAGGAGAACATGATGCCTCTATGAACTTCCCTAGAGTTGAAAAACAGAGACAGAAATATTACTTTGAGAAAGGGGATGTAAAGACAAGGCAGTAAAATTGGGAAGGTTTTTCTTCTATATTTTAGATTACGTGAAGAGTCCTTGGAAACAAAGCTTCTAGGCCTCTAAAGCTTAAGTCAACTCTCAAACGACTTTGGAAAACAAATGACCATAAAACTCATGCAAGTTTCTCAAGCGATCAAGCTAGCCTCCCAGACATAAAAATTCACTTCATAGTGATTGAGCATAGCTTATAAGCCACAAAAGCTTGAGTTAGTTAATGGAGCATAACTCCTTAGTCGCCAGAGTTCAATTTGAAATAACCAAGCACAATATTCAAGCAAAAAAAACTTGAATCCATTTTCTAATAGATAAATGGAACAGGAAAAACATAAAGATTGAAACAGCTCATAAGAAGCCTTGGGCCAGCCTATCAAGTATTAAAGCATCTTAATTCAAGATCTTAAACTTATTTAGTTTTACGTCATGGAGCATTAATAGCCACGAAGGCCATGAATGGAATAATTTGATATCAATAAGATCGGCAGGCCAATTGTGATAAGGAGTTCTATGAAACAAAAATGTTGAGCGACCTAAATCCTCTAAGAGTTGATTAATGATCCGAGGTCACAAAAATATTATCTAAGGTTGGAAAGTCATTCTATAATAAGAGCCGAGTGCTTTGTCTTATCCATATTTCAAAGTATCCAAATGATTCATGTCAACATCCTTTAGCTATAATACTCTTCCTTGGATGGCTAAACTGCTTCATTAATATAGCTCGGGTTTTCATGAAAGAGATCAACATCCTCTCAACATCAATGATAGCTTGCCATGATAGCTTCACCTTTAGCATAAAAATTTTGTCCAAGGTTTCTTGTTGACTCAGCTTATTTAGCTCAATTAATGGCTTCATCGTAATAAACTTGTAACTTTTCAACTCAACTACCTTCTCAGAGCCTCAGCCTACGAGTGAACCATTGTGAGATCACCCTGAAGATGAACAATCTCTTCTTGATAAATTAAATAATTTTTCCCAGTTCTATAACATCGGAGGACTCAACAAACATATGTAACTTTAGAGTTTGCAGCTGTCAAGGTTACAGTGAAAAGATGTGTATTCCTCCAAATAAAAGAGGAGTTTGAGATATCGTCTTTCACAATGTATTGAAACTTTGAAAGTCGGAAAAGAAGAGTTTTATGACTACATATTTCAACAAGTCAAGCCAGAGCGGCACAAGTCTTTCAACAGCCGCAAGCTTAAGATTCGAATGAGCATAAGTGGTCGGACTCAACAAACCTAGATGTGGCCAAATCTCAAGTAACTCTATCTACTTAACAAGCCATAAGAAAAGCCGTAGTAGAGGAACCCCCATTTGGTCAACCCTTTAGTAGAGACTGTAAGAAGCACAAAAACTTCTCTGACTCGACGAGTGCAAGTAGTTGTAGTCCACTAAATTATCCTAAGTCACTGGAGAGTCAAAGTTATAGTGGGAAGTACGAGTCTCGATCAACAACTACCAAATGCATGTAAGCTCTAAGATTTCAAAACACGAAGAATGACTTCCAATCCGCAAACTTGGGGAGCGCATTTCTCCATAGCTCAAGACTAAAGCTTGAATGGATGTATGAGGTTGGACTCAACAAGCTCAGATGTGTCCAAGTCGCTAACAGCTCCATCTATTTAACACGTTATAAAAAAGGCTGCAGTAGAGGAACGCCCTCTTCAATAGTCAGATGACAAGAACTGTTAAATACTAGCTCACCCAATCTGATAAGTTTAAATAACACAAATTAAAATCTTCTCGACGGTTAAACATCAAGATATTATATATATTTGGTATTACTCATCAAATCAAAAATCCTCCAAATCCTTCAAAAAATCCATAAAGCACAAAATGAGAATCGAAGGAATCCTTCTTAAACAAGTCCACCAACGCACAAAGCAAAGAACTGAAGAAATTATCTCAAAATTCACATAAAGGCTAAGACTGAATTAAGTGGACTTTTATCATCAAGAAGTCTATTAGGCATAAAGCTCTTAACTGATGAGCTCTCGCCACTGACCTGATGTAAACCCAAAAGGGTTTAGGTCACCGACATCTACTCTTTCTTCAAGCCCGCCAAAAAAGAAGGTACGCAAATCCCCTGACAAATCGGCAATAACAAATCTGATAATCCTTCACCAATGTTTGTCGCACAAAGCATATGACAAAAGAAGTTGAAATATCAAAAACTCAAACTAAGAAATGTAGAGAGTGCAACTGTTGATTCTAATATATGGCTAAAGCAACAACGCTCATAACTTTCTTAAGAAATACGGGATATTTTAAATATTTATTTTGGTCAACATCGCGCTGCATGCCGAGATCACCAATTAAATATTTAAGATCACCTATAATGCTACCAATACAACTACATAAATCACAAAAGTAGTTAAAGCAGAACTCGTTAACAACTGAATTTATAAAATTGATTTATTTTGTTAATTCAGCATTTATATATAAGTTTTCAATTTATATTTTTTTACAAGTTTACATTAGCCAAAAAAGATGATAAGTACATTGTCCTTCACAAGGGACTAAAATGTATCTCTTAAATTTATGCTTGAAGAGGAAATCGACAGCTCCGCTATGCTCTTTCCAAAGGCTAGGCATCCTATGCTTATGTAACATAAACATCAGTAGAAAGGACAAAGATTATGCAAATATATGTAAAGCTACAAAAAGAAAGGTGTAACTAAACAGAGGTCTCCTGCAATAGCTGGTTGAATAGGTGTCCCACTCCTAAAACCTGTGTAGAATAATAAGGGTATTAGTGAATAGCTAAAGAAAGAAATGAACTGTATAAACTAATAAAAGTGTACCTGAGCTACATCCTCCCGTGGTAGCTAACTAGCTGATATACTGTTTTTGTGAGAACTTGCGCAAATTAGTGAGGCATCATCAATATATATAAAATTGACAGTGTAAAAATAAAGTGAAAGCTAATAAAGAGAGCGTACCTGAGCTGAAATCTCCTATAATGACTAGTTAGCTAATATCATGCTCATCTTGAAGCTGCACAATACACGAAGGATCACTAGTACAAGTATAAAATTAGTTAAAAAAGAAAGGGAAGAGTGCACTTGAGCCAAAAACAACTGTAAAAAACATGAGGTAGTGAAATCCCACAAGCTATTGAATCTGTAAATCTAATACCATTACTATAGAATCTAGTATCCGAACTTTACATATTCACTAGCTTGCAGGATTTCACTGCCTTAATTTTTTTGTAGTTGTTCTTGGCCCAGGTACACTCTCTTCTCTTTCTTTTTCAGTTGATTTTATACTTATACTAATAATATTTCATATCTTATGCAGGTTCCAAGTGAGCAGGATGTCAACAAGCTAGCTACTGCAAGAGATCTCAACTCAGATACACTCTTTTCAATAACTTTTACTTTACGTTTACACTGCCTATTTTATATATATTGATGATACCTCACTAATTTATGTAAGTGCCCACAGGAATAGGATATTAACCAGTTAGCTGCTACATGAAGCTTCAGCTCAGGTACATCTTTGTTAGTTTTTGCAGTTCCTTTCTTTTTTTAATTGTTCACTGATATCCTTATTATTCTACATAGGTTTCAGAAGGAGCGGGACACTTAGTCAGCCAGCAATTTTAGGAGACCTCCATTCAACCACACATTTCTTTTTATAGTTTTATATATATTTGTATAATCTTTCGCCTTTTTCTTGGCATATCTGTTGCTTAGTGCAGGTCCCATAAACACAGGATGTCCAGTCTTTGGTAGGAGTATAGCGGAGTTGTCAACTTCCTATTCAGGAATAGATTTAGAAGACAGATTTTAATCTTTTGCGAAGGACAATTTACTTTTTCCCCTTTTTGTTAATGTAAGCTTGTAAAAAAGATGTAAATTAGAAACTTATATATAAATTATGAACAAATAAAAAGTAATTTTATGAATTCAGTTGTTGACGAGTTCTACTTTACTATTTCTTTTTTTTGTGGTTATGTTAATAGCCTGCATGCGATTTTAAATATTTATTTAGGGATTGTGGCATGCAAGATAATGTTGACCCAAATAAATATTTAAAATGCCCCCTATTTTTTAGAACAATTATTAGCCTTGTTTCTTTAGACATCTATTAGAGTCAACAGTTTTACACTCTAAATAACTTAGCTTGAGTTCTTGAGATTTTAACTTCTTTTGTCATATACTTTGTATGACAGATATTGGTAAAAGATTATCTGATTTGTCATTACTGACTTATTACTGGATTTGTGTACCTTTTGCCCTATGTTCCTTGCTTTGGCAAGCTTGATGAAGGAGTAGATGTCGATGACCTTTGTGTTTAGGTCATCAGATCAGTGTCGAGAGATCATCGGTTAAGAACTTTGTGCGTAACAGACTTGTTAATGACAAAAGTCCTCTTAATTCAGCCTTAGGCTTTATGTGAACTTTGGGATAATTTCTTCAATTCTATGTTTTGTGATTTGATGAACTTGTTGAAGGATTCCTTCGATCTCGCTTTGTGCTTTACGAATTTTTTGAATGATTTACAGGTTTTGAGATTGATTAGTAGTACCAAATGTAGATAATATCTTGATCATTAATCAATCGAGAAGATTTTAATCTGGGTTACTTGAACTTGTCAGATTGGGCAAGCAAGGATTTAACAACTCTTGTCATCCGACTATTGAAACAATGGTTCCTCTACTGTGGCCATTTTTATAATGTATTAAGTAGATGGAGCTGTCAGTGATTCAATCACATCTGGGCTTATTGAGGCCGACCTCATACGCCCGTTCAGGCTTTAGACAAACTTGAGTTGTGGGAAATGCGCTCCCTAAGCTAGATTTTGCTAAAGTTTGCGAATTTGAAGTAATCTTATGTGGTTCGAGATCTTAAAGCTTACATGCATTCGGTAGCTATTGATCGAGACTCATACTTCCTACTATAACTTTGACTATCCAGTGACTTAGGAAAATTTAATGGACTACGGCTACTTGAACTTATCGAGTCAGATAAGTTGGTGTACTTCATACAGTCCCTACTGAAGGGTTGACAAAATGGGGGTTCCTCTACTACGGCTTTTCTTATGGCTTGTTGAGTAAATGGAGCTGCCAGTGACTCGGCCAGATCTGGGCTTGTTGAGTCTGACCTCTTAATCTCATTCGAACCTTAAGCTTGAGGCTGTTGAAAGACTTGTGCCGCTCTGACTTGACTTGATGGAATATGTAGTTATAAAAGTCTTCTTTTTCGACTTTCAAAGTCACAACATGTTGTAGAAGGCGATATCTCAAACTACTTAGGGGACAATCTGCGTATATTTTGGAAAGGGCAGTTGTCTTATTTTTTTATTTGGAGGATTATACATCTTTCCACTGTAACATTGGCTCTCTAGTTACTTAGCAAAATTTTTCAGACTACAACCAATTTACTTATCAAGTCAACTAAGCCTTTATGTTTCTAACAGTTCCTACTAAAAGTTTAACGAAATGGAGGTACCTCTACTGCGGCCTTTCTTATGGCTTATTGAGTAAACGGAGACGCCAGCGAACTCGGCCATAACTGGACTTGTTGAGTGCAACCTCTAGCTCATTCGAACTTTAAGCTTCAGCTACCGAAAGACTTGTAACACTCTAACTCAACTTGCTGGAACATGTAGTCACAAATTCTTTTTTTCCTTACCTTTGAAGTTTTGGCATATGAAAAAGGTGGTGTCCCAAACTTTTTTAAAAGTCACCTAATATACTTTGAAAGAGAAGTCGTCATATTCCTTTATTTGAGGAAATATTTGTATTCTACAATTTTAAATATTTATTTGGGGATCTCAGCACGAAGCATGATGTTAACCCAAATAATATGTTTGATGTTTTTATTCAGGGATCTCAATATAAAATATAATTTCATCCCTAAATAACATATTCAATGATTTATTTTTTTACTATTTTATATAGGGATCTCGACATGTAACACAATGTCGACCAAAATAATATATTTGATGGTGCTTAAATATTTATTTGGAGATCTAGGCGTGAAACACGATGTCGACCAAAATAAATATTTAAAAATATCTTGCCTTGTAAGAAGATTTTAGATAGGTTAAAATTGGCGTTTTGAAATTTTAAATATTTATTGGGGATCTCGGCATGTAACTCGATGTTGACCCAATTAAATCTGTAAAATGCTTCATCTTGTAGAAATATTTTGAGATTTTAAATATTTAGTTAAGGATTTCGGCACGCAGTGCGATGTCAAATTGAATAAATATTTAAAATGCCCATAGTCTTATGGGAGATTTTGATAAAAAATTTTTAAATACATTCTTATAACACAAGAAGTTTAAATATAAAATATGTATGTTAATAAGTATGTATGAAATACATAGTATATTAAATATAATATTTTCTCAGACAATTTTTTGTGTTACTTCTTTAAGCATCGACCATTCATCGCCAACATGGGCCTCTGACCGTGAAATTTTAAGAAGTCTAATTTCGTCGAGCCAATAAAACTCCTTCATTCTCAATCGAGCATTTTTCTCTTGTATTACATCATGCTGAATAGCTACCCATAGAGACAGTAGCTCGATCTCTAGTAGTAACACTTCTTCAACCCTAAAAATCAATTTGTAAGGAGTGGCTTTGATCGGCATCTTGTAGGTGGTATGATACGCCCACACCGCTTTTGTCATCTTAGTGTGTCACACTCTTTTTTTTTGTGAGAATCTTATTCAACAATTTCACTAGTGTCTTATTGAAGGCCTCCATCAAGTCATTGGCTATTGAATTATATATTGATATATATCGATAATTGATTTGTGTCGACCGATGAATTTATAGATTTTGGCGTTTTTGAATGTTGTCATTATCCTAGATCACGCGACGCAGTACATCAAATCTGTAAATAATGTTGTGGTTGAAGAAGTTGATCACGTGTTCATATGTGATCGTTTTAAATGAAACTGCTTCTACCCACTTAGCAAAATAGTTGGTCGCTACCAATATGAAGCAGTGCACGGCTGATGACGGTGGATCTATCAGCTCGATTATATCCTTAATGACAGTGGATTTTATGGCTGATGTATAACATCACCGTGAATATGATACTCGTGACACCTCTTAACGTGGCCAATACAATCATTTGCCACTGTTGGCCAATAGTAACACATCCTCTTGATTTTAACGGACATCTTAGACATGACTAGTGTGCGCCACAAAATCCTTCGTGGATTCCTACTACCACTATATCAGCTCCCTTGGCCACTAGGCATCCTAGTCATATTTGATTAAAAGCTCATCGATACAGCGTCTCATTGACAAACGCGCATCACAATGCTCTCTTCTGAATTTTCACGTCTAGAGATTTGTCTATTGGGAGTTTAATTTCTTTGAAATAATTGATGAATAGCTATCTCCAATCATCTTCTTCTCCGATGTCTTGATAATGCCACTACGATTCTGATGCAACGCTAGCTTTGCGTCTCTTTTTGGCTACTTGATGTTCATATGACTGATTATCAACAATGATTTGTTGGGGAGATTGAGGATAAAAAAAATTGTATCCTGCTGACTTGAATCTGATATTCCATATGCTTATGAGAATTGCAAGATTGCTAGTTATAAGATCGGACGAGTGTAAACTCCAATCAGTATAGGCCCCTTGTCGTCTGCATTTTCTATCTCCTTAGCTAATTTAGCCATGCAATATGCTTTATCGTTCTGGTCCTGAGGGCTTTTCGACGATAATGGGCCAACTCGAGTTTGCAAATCTTGTAGATGCCAGAACTTGATTTATCACAAGCTGAGAGTCGCCAAACATTTAGAGGTTGGGCAAGTTTAATCGACGAATTTCCGTCTAAATACATCTTCCATACTTGTAATTTCTCATTTTTCTCAACATACATGTAGGGGTGTCAATTCGGGTCAACGAGGGGTTCAGGTCGAACCCGACCTTAAACGTGTCGACACTAACCCAACCCGGTTTTACAAACAGGTCATGATTGTCAACCCGGACCCGACCCGTGCGGGTTATCGTGTTGACCCAAACTGACCCGTAAGGGAAGGCGACATTTCGCGACAGCTACATCTCGCGGGCGTGACGATAGTGGCAGCGACATCTCACAAGTGTGACGATAGCGGCAGCGGGAGTTGGTGGTCATCCAGCGGCGGTCTTCTTCGATCCGTGACAACTCGCGAGCGTCCAGGCAAGACAGCGCTAGGCTGGCAATGGCCGGCAAGCTGGGGGCAGCAGCAGCGACAGCTCGAGCGGGCTACGATGAGCATGATGTGACCCTGAGTGATGCGACTGTAACGCGACCCGCAACCCGCGACCGAATGACCGATTGACGGATAACACGACCATGAGCGTTACTTCCGGGTCAATTCGAGTCGACCCGCGGATTAGCGGGTCAACCTGAACCCGACTCATTTTTTAAAACTGATCGGAAATCCGAACCCAGACCCGACCTGTTTCACAAATGGGTTGACCCAAACCCGAATTTTCCTAAGTGCGATCCGGGTCGGGTCCGAGTCGTGTCAATTTTTGAAACCCCTACCTACATGATTTGTTCATCAGACAAATCATTATTGAGTAGAGATTCTACAGAGATTGTATGCACGACAAGAAAAACAGCTAAAGCTTGCCCATTCACCGCCTTTTGTGGTATATATGTGATATCAAACTATAGTAATATGACTGCCCACCTAGTTATGCGACCTATCAATGTTAGTCTTGTCATCAAAAACTTCAACAAATCGATCTTTGATATTAGCAAAATTTTATAAGACAACATATAGTGGCAGAGTTTCTAGACTGCAAAAATTAATGTCAGATAATGCTTCTCAAATGGAGAATACCATACTTCTGCTCCAATCAGCCTTCAACTGACGTAGTATATCACATTCTCTTTGCTCTCTTCATTGTGCTAAACTAATAATACTCCAAGGGACTCTTCCAGTGCGACAGCGCACAGGATAAGAGGCTTCCCCAAAATTGGCGATGCTAGAATGAGAGGATTTAATAAGTATCTTTTGATACTATCAAAAGCTTTCTGACATTCTGTCTCATTTGAAGTAAGCATTCTTTTTCGTTAACTTTGAAAATGACTAGCACTTACATGATAGATTCGATATAAATCGTCGAATGAAAGCCAGCAGCCCTTACAAGTAGCGATGCTATGGAAGGTTTCTTGGCGGTGGCATCTCCATAATTGTCTTAATCTTGTTGGGGTCGATTTCGATTCCTCGATGACGAATAATGTATCTGAGAAATTTTCCTAAGGAGACCCAAAGGGCACATTTGAGGGGATTCATCTTCAAATCAAAATTTTTGATCCTCTCAAATACGATCCTCATGTCATTTAGATGATCTATATGGTCCATGCTCTTAACGACGAGGTCATTTACATAACACTCGACCTTCTGATAAATCAGCTCATCGAAGATGTGCGTTATCGCCCGCTGGTAGGTGGCACCAACATTTTTCAGGCCAAAGGGCATGACTGTGTAGCATAATATGTCAATGAGCGTTCATGCCATCTTGATTTGATTGTAGTCCGACGATCCGTCCATAAAGACGAATATATCATAATTTGATGGGTTATCCACTAAGAGTTCTGACACTTGGAGCGAAAAATAATCTTTTGGGCACGTCTTATTGAGATCCTGAAAGTTGATGCAAACACGAATTTGCCAATTCTTCTTCTGGCGAGAATAATATTGGTAATCAATCGGCATATTTTTCTTCACGAATAAAGTCTGCATCTATAATCTTATTCGTCTCTGCAATCACTTCTTCCTCAATCTTCAATCTCATTCTCCATGGAGCTTGCTTGAAGGGCATTGTATTCGGTTTAATAGCTAATTTGTGAACTGCTACATCAAGGGATAAGCCGGGCATCTCAGTATATGTCCAGGCAAAACAATCCCTGAATTTACTGAGCAACTCTTTCATTTCTTCTACTTGCTCTCGGGCAAAAGGGCACTAATGAAGGTTAGGCGAGGATCTTCTTTGTTTACTAGATTAGTCTAAAATATAAAAGGAAAATCTTCCTAATTTCAACACCTTTTTTATATCTACTTTCTCAAAATAAGTTTTTACGTCAGTCTCTTTTCAACTTAAGGACAATAGTCCTCGATGTTTATAACTTCTATTGTTATTTGTATTATCTTTTCTGACACCCTCTGTTTCAATAAATCCAAGTACAGGTGATCTGCCTATAACTTTTGGCTACTACATCACCAGCTCCTGATTCTTTGGCATCATCTTAAGTGGTGATTTGTACCTCCCCAATTAGTACTTTCTTTACATATTTATAAAAATTACTTTGTTTTCCCTCAAATCTCGATACATTAAGTATACTTGTTACAATGGGCTCATATTTTAAGTTCTGAGGGAGGATTTAGATGCATGCCATTCTAGAGTATACTTAAATGTTTTTTTCACCAGTTTGATATATATTTACAATTTATGCATGCTTTTTGTTGTTTTATTTGGTTTCTCATCAACTCCTGCATAGAGATCTGCAACTAAAGCCAAAATCAAACTAACCAAATTAGGCTTGCTGATTTAGTTATGAAACATGGATGCTCTACCCATAATAAATTAGTTTTTAGTGCTACAATATAACAAAACCAACCTTACCGATCATAGCACGCCCTTGTT